TTACCTTAACAAAGGCAAGATCTACCTCATATCAAGCGACTGGGTTTAATGTCATGAAGTTAGGCTTAGAATAAATCAGTTCAGCAAATGGAATTTTAAGTAAGAGTAAAAGCATTGTGTGTGTAGGGGGAGGGACATGAAAAGGGTTTTTAACCAACAGAACACAATTTGATACAAGCAAAGGGAAAACACACAGCAAAGGGGAAAGAAATCAGGCAGTACCAGGAGTGGCATGGATAAGGGAGGTGTGACAGCAGCCACACAGACTCAATTTTGTGAGTCGCCTGTAACATAAAAAATAAAAACACAGAGACTGAAATGTGTGATCCTGTCTCCACTTATTCTCAGAGTGTAGTCCAGACCTCTATGCTCTCCTCAGCGTGGTTGGGGATTTATTGCCCAAATGTGATTTGAAACCAAAATGCCCCAGCTGAGTATCTGCTCCTAGCTTATATACCTCAAGTGCTGGGATTAAAAGTGTGTGATCCCAAATGCTGAGATCTCCTTTGTGCAAGTTGTTTCTCTTTAGGACTGGATCAATTTCACGTAGCTCAGTGTCGTCTTGAACTCACAGAGATCCATCTAGGACTAAAGGTGTGTGCCACCACTACCTGGATCTATGGCTTTCTAGTGTGGCTGCTGGAATTAAAGGTGTACATCACCCTTTCCTGATCCCTGTGGATTGTGTCTAGCTTTGCTTTCTGATATTTTAGGCAATCTTTATTAAATCATAAATAATTAAGGCAAGAAGATAGGCAGGACTCCTAGGAGGAGGAGAATTCTGGGAAAGGTAGGCATACCGGCCTGCCATAGAGTTGCCATACTGCCAAAGGAGTAGCAACATGCCAGACCTTACGGGGTAAGCCACAGCCTCACGGCAATACATAGATTGATAGAAATGAGTTAATAATTAAGACAGAGCTAGCCAATAAGAAGCCTAGTCATTGGCCAACAGTTTCATAATTAATATAAGCTTCTGTGTGTTTATTTTGGGGCTCAAGGGTGGCAGGACCTCCTGTAACAATTAATATATCACCACATTTGCAAAACAACTTGTAGGCAGTCTATGAACATAGAGCAGAGGAACCAGGGGTAACACTATGGCGTTGCTTTCTCTTCTCAGTGGGTGGAAACATTGCTCCGAAATCTTGGGGAGGCCGAGTCAGATGGATCTCTGAGTTCAAGGCCAGCCTAGTCTACAGGGCATGTTCCCCATAGCCTGGGCTACACAGAGAAACTTTGCCTTGAAAACAAACAAAAAGCATTCTGTAGTCCTCCTAATGCCCCCTCCCACCTACATCCTTACCCTTCTTCACCTCTGACCCTTGACTGAAGCATTGAGGTTACACAGCAGGTCTGCGCTCTGCTCCTTATGTGCTCTTCACGCCCTCTGTCCTCTGCCCTCTGACCCCTGCCCTCTGCCTTCTGCCCCCTGCCCCCTGCCTCCTGCCCCCTGTATGCACTGACTTTGATGATGCTGCTGCATCTCTGACATCTTTTGCTCTACATTCAGCTATCCAAAGGCTGACCTCACAGGCTTCTCCAGCTGAACATAACAAAAATGGCATCACTATCTCTTCTAGCAGTCATTCATAAGATCATGGATTCTGCCGTCTTCCTATCTCCCAAGGGCAAAGTGGTTTAAACCACTACCTTCAGATCTACTTTTTGCTGAATTCCCTTGTGTGCAGGAAATTGCTCAGGTGCTACTGTGTTTTTCTCCTCCATTGATAGAAAAGCGACCACCAAATGTAAGCCGCATGGCAGATCACCAAAGAGGTCTGTGGAGTCACTATATTCTGGAGGCCTTCAAACAAGACTTTCCCATCCTCTGTGTTAGCCAAGCCTCTTAGTGTGGTGAGAGGATTGAAGATGCTCATTAGTACTATTCTTTTTTTCTCCATGAACATATTCTCAAGCTCTCATTGTCTTCATAAAAAAATAGAAGAGGAAGCAAATCATTCTCTCCTTCTGTCTCCTCATAGTTCAGAATACATCTTTTAAGGGTTACCATTCCTAGCATTGCAGTTATTGTCAACACAGACAAACCTCCAGCGCAATTCTCATTGTATACTCAGATTTTTAAAAAATCGGCTTTGTTGTTCATTGTAGCCACTCTGCATTCTGCCATAAGGTGGCTTGCGTACAGAGAACCCCTATCCTTCTTGTACTGTGCCCTGAAGTCGGCTAGTGCTTGCCATACCATACAGGATGTCCAGTGAGATCAAGAAAGGTTCACATTGGCCGTCAGTCTGGTCTTTGTTTCAAGTCTGCTGGGGGGAAAATGCACAGTGAACCAAGATGTCTCTGGCGCCCTTCCATGATACGGATGAAGGTCTGTGGTTACATCTATGCCATAGAACCTAACAGATTGGTGGGCTGAGAATGTCGTGCTGAAGCGTGAACAACGCGTCGGTGGAAGTTTGCATTTCTAATTCCGTTTTACTGATGTCAACATGCAGACCCTAGGTGACTTTACTAAGGTTGTGGAGCATTCTCGTTTTGTTTTGTTGCAGTCCTGGGGATTGAACCCAGGGCCTCACTCTGACACTGAGCTGTGTGGCCAGCCCTCGTTATGTAGGATCACATGTAGTCTACCATTGTAATACTGGCTGCTCTCTTACTATCTCTTTCGCCGGGTAGCTAGGCAGCCTGGGACCATTCCTTAACCTCTCCCAGTCTTAGATTCCCCATCTGCACTGGAGGTCCCAGACTGCCTAAACCTGACAGCTCTTATGAGGCTAGGGGTGGGGGAATCACAGTGTATAAAGGACTTTATATAAGATTCTGTATTGTTTTATACAGATGGTAGACTTGGGAAGGGACTCATCATGGCAACAAAACACTCAACAAGAACAACTGGAAGAAGGAAGCATTTCTTTGGGCTCACACTTCCACCGTGCCACCAGCCATCACGGCAGGGGAATCATGGCTGCAGATATGTGAGGTGTCACATTATAGCCACAATCAGGAAGCAGAGAGAGACAAGGGTCAGTACTCATTTGGAACCTTAGCTTGTGGCTGCCCACAGTAGGGTGGGTGGGGAGTGGTCCTCTCAACTTAATTAACCTATTCTAGAAACTCCCTCACAGACATGCCTAGAAGCTTGATTCCTAGGGTTTTCTAATTCCTCTTGAGCCGACCATCCATGTTACCTTTCACGATGTTAGAAGACCATCCATGTTAGCCTTCATGCTCTGTTGCCTTCGTCATTGCCTCCGTTAAGTCCAGATACAACCAAAGTCAAGACAATAATTTTCACTGCTAAAAGCCAGACCTTGCCTGGAACCACCTCTCAACACATCATCTCAGTGGTAAAGCATTTGTTTTGCATGTGCAACGCTCTGGGCTCAAGACCCAGTGCTAGGAAAAAAAAGAAGAAAGAAAAAAACTTAGCAAGCTTGACATCACTTTCAATCTTTGTCGTTACCAAACTCCTCCTAAATGCACAGTTTTCATTCCTCATCCCACGTGTCTTCTTTATCAATGTTTATATATGATGTTTATACATGAAGAATTTAAAGTGTACAGTGACAGACAACTTGTGTAACAAATTAGTCACGAGTAAGCATTTACACATTTACACCAACTGTCAGGCCTTGCAGCAGGCAGTGGAAATAAAGAGGGGCTGGGTGGGGCTGGGACAAAAACCCTGTCTGTGTAGAACTTCCATGAGCTAAGGGATACAAGGGAGAGGAGCAGGGGGTAAAGGGTGACTCGCTATGGTTTGGATAGGAGTTAGACGTAGTCTCTAAAAGTTCATGTGTTGGAAGCTTAGTCTCCTTTGTGGTGAAGGTATGAGGTGGCAGAATTCTGAAGAGGTAGTGGCCGGTGACTAGGTCCGGGACTGAGCTCCAGAAATGACTACAGCGTCGCCTCAGGGAGAAGTCTGTGTTGGGTGTACACTTCAGAGCAGCGGCATTTGCGCATTTGGAGCTGAGGCTAAGAGACAACAATCTACCAAGCTGATGAGTTAACACAGAGAAGAGAGCAATTTCAAGGCTGAAACTTGTGCATCGAAAAGCAAGGAAGGATGGGGTGGGGAGGAGATGACACAGCGGGACCAATGAGGGCGAAGGAAACGGGGAGGGGCGTGTTCTAAAAGATCCCCCAGCAGGCCTCTCGGTGGAGAGTAGAAACCCAGCCAGGTGCTGCAGGGCGTCAAGGTGGGTGAGTAAGGGCTGACAGGTTTACCCAAGGCAGAGTCCTTGAGTGTGATAAGAGCTGGGTGACCATACTGCATGAGCTGACCGAAGTCAACTCAGGAAAGCGCGGGAAACAGGAGCTGGAGAACAAAGTGAACGGGACATGATAGTTTTGCTATAAAGAGAATCTAAAGTGAAGAAGGAGAATCGGGTTACAGAGTCAGAACGCTTGGTTTGGGGGAATTTAAAAACAGATGTCCATGAACATTGAATGTATTAGTCATTCTATATCCGTAGATATGCAAAGAGTCAAGGCTGGATATGCATATGACTGGTAATTTCTCTTTTCAGGAACACAGTTAGCATCTAGGAGGTGAGGGGACAGAGGGAAGGAGGGACGGAGGGGAGGAGGGAGGGAAAATGGATGGATGGAAGGAAGAGGAGCCCAGCTGTGACTTGTCCTAGACAGCGCTGATCGGCAGCCTTAATTAGCTTCAGACTTGGAACACAGATGAACCCAAATGGATCCAGCCTTTCCTGAACGTTGTATCGTTTATTTTGTTACTGAAATGAGAGTCTCGGGCAACTGGGAATCAATGCATTGATTTAAATATTATGCAAAAGATGGAGCTATTACTACGAGAACATTTTTATGACTTAAAAATCACATTTCAGCATTTTCTTATGTCAGGGGCTGTGACAGGGCAGCATTGATTAACATGCTCAGACCCGATCATCAAGAAAAAGACTTGAAACTGCAAATTTTTTTCTTGTGAAAGATGGCTTCTTAGGTCCACATTGGGTTCAAAGTTATTAAATAATGACAGTTACATTTGGGAGGCTTTTGGCATGTGATTTGTTTTCAACTTTTTATTATGAAAAATTTCAAACTGGCGCAAAAGTACAGAAAGAACACATAACGACCTCACTCTTAACACCTTCCAGACTCCGCTTCAGTAACTGCTGACTCTGAGCCAAGCTGACTGTATCCATGTCCAAGGCCACTTCCGTCTCCTGAGTACTGGGCTGCCGGAAGCAATTATTTTCAAATGAATTTCTGACACCATGTCATTTCATCTGTAATTATTTCACATGTTAGAAAGAGACTATTTTGAAACATTAAAACATCCCATTGTCATTTCCACACTTAAAATCAGAGCAGGTCATGAATTTTAGCAAATATTCTTCAGAGTTCCCATTGCCTTCACATGGATAAGTCTAAGTCTGGACCCTATAGACACAGCATCTTTGAAAGGCAAAGAGAGACAGTTACAAGTCTTGGTTTGACAAGCACCTTATCCCAAGCCCCTTATTGTTGTGATACGCAGTACAAGAGAAAGTCTAAACTAGGAATAGCGTGGCTTTGATGTTTAGATTCCCCACCATGTCTTCCTGGGGGTGTGCCATTGGACTCTTCATTTGTCTTTTCCCGGGCTGGCCTCCGCATGCCTCGGCCCTTCCTTCCCCGGCTCCTTTCTTTCCCGAGTCCCTCCAGTCCCGCGGTCCCGCATCCCGCTCCTGCCACTTGTTTCACTGGCTTCTCCATCCCTACCCCCTTTAAGACTTCTTCCTCCTCTCTCATGATCCCCTCACTAGCCTCCTGACCCACAAAACGCGTGTGTAAACACACACACACACACAATTGCAAGTTTAGGTAGCACATTTGCCTGTCTTTCTTTTTCTCCACTGTTGCTCACTGATACACAGGCAGGCTCTATGGCAACAAGCCTGAAGATGCTGCAGTGAAGGGGGAGGGCGAGCTCATGGCCACAGTTGCGTGGAGCCCGGAACAGAAGAACGCCATGCACAAGCAAGAGTGGGGCGGCCCACGCTGGTGGGGGAAGCAAGTATAGGCCAGGGTCAAAGGCCACGAAGTCTGCAGCCTTGGCCCCAAGCCCTAGTCCTCTCTCTCCTTCCTGTCTTCCTTTCTTCCTCTCTTCCTTCCTTCCTCCTTCCTGTCTTCCTTCCTTCCTTTCTCTTTTTAAAATGTGTATAGGTGTCCTGCTTGCATATATGTGGGTGCATCACAGGCAAATAGTGCCCATGGAGGACAGGAGAGGGCATTGGATGCCCAGGGACTGAAGTTGCAAATGGTTGTGAACTGCTTTGTGAGCACTGGGAATTGAACCAGGACCTCTGGAAGAGCTCTTCACCTCCGAGCCATCTCTCAAGCCTCTAAAGCTCCTCTTGCTGGTTGTCTCCTAACTCCAGGCCTAGGCTGGTACTTCCCTGGGCACACCTTCTATAAAAACAAACAAACAAACCAAAACCACGTACTGCTCTTATGACAAACGTCATGGCCTCTAGTCCTGCAGCCTTCCTTCAGCCCTGGCTTAGGTAGGGCCACACTACAGGGCAATGGTACACAGGCCTCTATGCTACATTTCATGAACTTCCCGCAGTGTCCCAGCCCTCCACTGCCACACTACAGCCCAGAGTAAATCTACAAACCTCCTCCCCCTCCTCCCCTCCTCCTCCCTCTCCTCCCCTCCTCCTCCCTGTCCTCCTCTGTCTCCTCCTCCCTGTCCTCCTCCCTCTCCTCCCCTCCTCCTTCTCCCTCTCCTCCCCTCCTCCTTCTCCCTCTCCTCCCCTCCTCCTCCCTCTCCTCCCCTCCTCCTCCCTCTCCTCCCCTTCTCCCTCTCCTCCTCCCTCTCCTCCTTTTAAGAGTTAGAGGTGGATATTTACTTAACACTCAGATCTACCTGTGTTCACTAACTCGGGGAGTGGCTACCCGCGCAGGCTTCTCCTTAGGTATTGCCTTTACCAGGGCCTGGGCAGCAGCCATTGCTGTCTTCCTTGAGGCCGCTTTGCCTTTAAGGCTTCCTTGGCGCCCGACAGCCTGCTCTCCCAGCCGAGCTTTCCTAACTTCCGGTTCCTTATTCCTCTCAGCCATTATATCAACAGGAGATGCGCCGGGGACGGCCCACTGGAATTTGACTGCGTGGCAGGGTCTTTTGAATTTCGTCTGTCTGTTCCTCTTTTGTGCGTGCTTCTGTGGAGGACAGTCCAGTTTATCTGTCAAGGATTCCTTCCCATCAGTCCTGGCACAGTGATACCCACGTCTGGGGTAGATCTTGTACCTGCTGAAACTGTACCACTCCATCGTCATGGCTAGGGCTGTGCTGGTGGAAATAGTGTAGAGAAAGAAAGGAAGACACCTCATGGGGCAGAGGGAGAGAACCTCCATGAATGTATATCTCTTCTTGATGAAGAAGACAAGGATAGCTCCTGCGAGACGGTGTCTCCTAGGCGTGTTGGGAAGTTGTCCTTGTGAAATCTCAACTCTATGATCGTCCTTTGCTTTCTTACTGACAACTACTCTGGCTAGGGTGACATGGAATTTTAATTTGTGTTCTCCTGGTGGGTGAGGGCATTGACTACCTTTCCAAGTATTTGTTGATCATTTGTATTTCGTCTTTTAGGAATTGTCTCTGGGCTTGGAAGCCCACACCTTCAATCCCAGCACTGGGGAGGCAGAGGCAGGAAGATCTCTGTGAGTCTGAGCCCAGCCTGGTCTACAGAGTGAGTTCCAGGACAGCCAGGGCTATGTAGAGATACCCTGTCTCAAAAGCAAAACAGAACAAAAACAAAATGAAACAAGAGAGAGAGAGAGACAGAGACAGAGACAGAGACAGAGACAGAGAGACAGAGAGAGAGACAGAGAAGAGAGAGAAGCTTTCTGGCATTTAATTTCGCATTTCTCTGTATAGTCTAAATATTAACTCTATCTAGTATGTGACCAGAAAAAAATTTGTTCTGTCTGTAGGCTGTTTCTTCACTCAGACAGTTTTCTTTTCTGTGCTTTTTAATTTTATGCAAATCCATTTGTGTGTTCTTAGGATTCCTTCCTGTGACAGAGATTTTCAGGAAACCTTTGTATCCACACAGGTTAGTTTTATATTGACTTGACGTAAGCTAGACTCATTCTGGAGGAGAAAACCTCAATAAGGAAGAGGCCCGTGGGCGTTTTCATGGTTGGTGATTGATGTGGGAGGGCCAGTTCACTGTCCGTGGGCCATCCTGAGCTGGTGGTCCTGGGTTCTACAAGAAAGCAGGCTGAGAAAACCATGGGGAGCAAGCCAGTAAGCAGCACCCTCCATGGCCTCTGCATCAGCCCCGGCCTCCAGGTTCCTGCCCTGGAGGAAAGAGGACCCCAAGCCCAGACTGTTCTGCTATCACACTGCTTTCTCTCTCTACAGAAAAACCAGTGAGTCCAAACTGCAAGCTCATGTGTGATTCAAGCACACTGCCTTTTCACGGAAATGTGTGGAGCATGAAGAGGGCTGGCTCCCGGTAAGTTTCATTTGTTTTAATTTTACTACGTATGCGTACGTTAGCAACTGTCATCAATGACTCGTTCTTATTTCATTATTCAATGTGTTTAATATGCTTTATCCAACTACACACATCTACTGTTATTTAGCTCTTGGCTGACACAGAATGAGAGACATCAGGGTGTCCCGAGCTCAGCAAATATTTGTTCGTTTCAAATTATGGCAATGTTTATCTTTAAAAGAGCCAGCTGTCGTAGTTATGGTAGAATGAAAGGACACCATCCTACTCATTCCCTTCTCGGGAAAGACACTATCAATAAACTATGAAGCTTGTATAAATATTTTTAAAAGGAATGTCACATAATTTGTTGTAATGACACCCCCTAGTGGGCATTTTCATTACTGCTTTGACCGCCCTTTAGAGTTGTTCGTTTTAATAGTTGGTTACTTGGACTTTTTTTTTTTTCTAGAGCTAGGTAGGGTGGCACATATTCGTGATCCAAGCACTCGGGAGGCTGAGCCAGGAAGACTGCCTCAAGCTCTGGTCTAACCTGGGATACATGTTTCAAAATTACTAAAAGAAAATTCTTCTGCCTGTAAACAAAAGTTACATCTCCAAACAATCTTTCACATGTGGGCCACAAAGCTAAAAAAGTGAGCCCAATCCCTTTCATCTTGAGAAGAACCGTGTCCACGCTTTGGTTCACTTGAGACAAGAAAGAATGAAAACAGCAAGGAAGACCCCAGCATGTCGAATTGGCAACGAGAACCAAGGTGTGTGGAGAAATTATTTTGCATGGGTTCTCCCTCAGCACTCACAGAGGTTATTTATGTGATATTTGTGCTGCTGTATTTTGTGCCAGTACTAATCATTGTGCAGATGGAAAGTACATTGGCAAGGGGAAACTGGGATGTGAACCCAGGTTTCCCAGCCTCAAGCACGGGATTGGTTATGAGTTAGCACAGCCACTTACTGCTTGCGTCTCAAAGCCAGTTTTTCTCAGAATAGCAAACCTGCTTGCTAGACGACTGCTGCCCTCGTCCATTCCCCTTTGCTTACGTCACAGACAGGCCCAGCATTGTCCTCCTCCAGGACTTCAGTGCCGCTTCCTACGTTCTACAGCTGCCACTCAGTTGGGAAGAAGTGGTCACTAATCCCAGAGCCGCAACTGCCAACCTCTCCTGGCAATCTGAGACAATGAGACGCCAACACAGCCACCATAAAACCGAGAAGTGAGGAGTCATGAGTTCATACAGTAGAAAGATAGACCATAGATTTAGAGAGAAGATGCATAGATAATAGACTAATTATATATATATCCTCTTTGGTGGTTTGAATGAGAAATGTCATCTATATACTTGTGGACTTAAACCCTTGCTCCCTTGTTGGTGGCACTGTTTGGGGAGGTTGCGGAGCCTTCGGGAGGTGGAGCCTTATTGGAGGAAGAAGATATCATGGGAGTGGGCTGTAAGGATTTAAAGTTTCACCCCACTTTCTTTTTTATTTTTAGAAACACTCTTATTTACATATCCATCCCCCCATTCCCTCTCCCTCCCATCCTCCCATGCTTCCCACCAACTCCCCAACCCAGTCTCCAGGGATAGTGAGACCCTCCATGGGGGATCATCAAAGTCCATCACATCATCTGGGGGAGGACACAGACCCTCCTTTCCGTATCTGGGCTGCAATAGTATCCCTCCATAGGAAAAGGGCTCCCAAAGTCCATTTGTGGCCTAGGAATAAACCCTGACTCCACTGTTAGAGGTCCATAGACTGCCTTGGCCTCCTAGCTGGTACCCACATTCAGAGGGCTTGGTTTGGTCCAATGCTGGTTCCCCTGCTTTATGTCTGCATGCTCTCTTTAGGTCAGGTCAACTGTTTCTGCAGGTATCTCGAGACAGTTCCGTCTAGGTTCATTTGGTCATCTCTCCTCCCTCTCTGCAACTGGATTCCAGGAGTATGGCTCAGTGATCAGCTGTGTCACCCTACTTTCTTATCCCTGACCCCCTTACCATACCACTTCTCTCTCCCTCTTTCTCTCTCCCCCTCTCTTCCTGTCTTCCTCCCTCCCTCCCTCCTCTCTCTCTCTCTCTCTCTCTCTCTCTCTCTCTCTCTCTCTCTCTCTCTCTCTCTCTCTCTCTCTGTCTCTCTCCTTGTGTGAGGATGAAAAGTTATAAACAGCCAGCTTCCTCCTTTGGCCTCACCCTGATGAACTGTTCTCCTGAGCTTAAGTAACAGTCTCTTCCTAAATTTGCTTTTTGTCTGTGTTATCAGCAACAGAAAAGCAACCGATCCAGGCTCTCCCAATAGGAGACTGTTAGGGCACACCAGTTAAAGCAAGAGTGCTGGCGTTCAAAGGGAACATTTCACAGTCATCATAACAAGATCACTGATGACTTCAAATCTCGAGAGAACTTTGGATGAGAACTAGTGTCTTCCCACCTCCTGCATCACAGCTACAAGGGAAGGAAAGGCGATAACCACTTCACAGTGGATTATTAAGTTACTTCTTGATATGCTGAGCTAGGGGAACTCCACCAAGGGGCCACAGATGGCTGTGGTGTGACTCCAGATACAGACGTCAGAAGAGTCTGCTCCCATGACGCACTTCTGCTGACGTTGCAGACCGACCACAAGGACACTCAGAAAAGCCAGGATGGCGACCCTTCTGCCTCCTTAAAAGAGGAGACATTGTCAAAACCAGGGTCAGAGGTGAATTTCAACAGTAGAGTGTTTGCCTTAAACACACATGGTTTGGGATTCTATCTCCAGCCCCACAAAAACATAATGCACCCCTAAACCTGTCCAAATCATAAAAGACAAAGGCTGTGGGAAATGCAAGTTAAGGGAGTGGAAATGGCCATCAGTGGTGACTGCAATGCCCAGCGAGGACCCTTCATGTCACTGAAGGGTGCACCTGACAGAGGTTAAGTCACCCCTGTTAAAATCTGAGAGGAAATAAAGTTATAAATAGGTCACAGAAACACAGAGTGACAAATAATAAAGCTACAGGGTAAAAGTGGGGTGCCAGTCAGTCTGTAGTCACTGGAACAAAATATCTGAGGAAAAATACTCAAAAGGTGGAAAAACTTGTCCGGTCTCATAGTTGAGAAGCGTCAACCCAAGGTCACTCAGCTTTGTTTCTGGGCCTGTGGTGAATGAAGCAGGACTCATGGCAGAAGCATGTGTTGTTTCTTCACATCCAAGGATCTTAGAGACTCTGCTGCTACCTAGAAGTTCCGGTTGTCACTGAGGTCCCTCCTCCCCCCCCTCCTCCCTCCTACCGTTATATCCTGCACCTGCGACTCCTCAGCACGGAACCAACGATGAAACTGCTGGAGCATGTCTGTGACGGTCTACGCCGCTGGGGTCAGGTTCCTCCATGACACCTTTTCTCTTGCTACTTGACCACTGGTGTGGATATTGTACAGGGTTCAGAGGATACGAGTGTTGTGTGTTCGTGTAGGGTGTGTGTGTGTGTGTGTGTGTGTGTGTGAACAACACTGCAATCCTAGGCCAGAGGCCTGACTCTGGGTATCCCAGCATATTGGGTTCAGGCACTCACCCAAAACTCAGAGAAAGTAATTGTAAAAAAACGGTAAAGGATGTTATGTCTGTGAAACCATTGACAGGAAGGAAAGGAATGCTGCTGTCAGTGCTCCTCAGAGGCACTGGCAAGAGCCCCATGCTACCCCAGAGAAGTCAAGACGATGCATGCATGCGCATGCACCATTGATCAGCCTTGGTCAAACTGCCGAACTCTCAGGATCTACCAATCTCAGTCCATTTCCCATCTTACAAGCACCCTCCATCTGACCTGACCAGGGGTTATGCACACTGTGCCCAGCGTTTACAGGGGTACTAGAGATCTGAACTCAGCCCTCATTTTTGTGTGGCAAGCACCTTATTCATTGAGCCATCCTCCCTATGCCCCTAACCCCCCCCTTTAGTTTTAAGGATGGATCCTCTGTAACCTAGGCTGTTCTTGAACTCATGGCAATCCTTCTACTTCAGTGTCCTGAGTGTTAGGATTACAGCCATGAGGCTCCATACCTAGCATGGGGTTTGTTTGATTTAGTGTCTGATATTAACTATGGGAACTATTTTTTTTCCAAAACTGCATTTTTTCCTACTACATGCTGTCCTTTTCCCATTTATTCATGACACACTTTTGCTTATTGCATACCGAACCCTTTTATTTTGCCTAGATTCTATCTATGGCCTATTTATTCAGTTGGGATTTGAGTTGTGATGAAATTTAAAGCTGGTTGAGTAAAAGACCATTTTAAGCAATAGGCAATAATGGTTCCTTAGACCAGACACTGGCAAAAGAGGACCTGGGATAGAGCTGACAACCGGACACAGAGAATGTGTGGACGCTGGTGGCCCCAGAGCTTTGACTAGCAGGGCCAGGCTACCCATGGGCGCAAGGGTTTCAGTTTCCCAGCTTCACGTCACCTCATTTACCCCAGATTCCAGAGGGACCCAGTAGCCTGAGCCAATCTGTCTCGGGTCCCTAAATCCAGCTGATCGCTACTGGAAGGTGAGAGAAGAGACACCAGAGTACAGCGCTAAACACAGCTGGAAACAGCGTTAGGCAAGTCGGAGTCATCACGGACAGGAGCTGTGGATATGTAAGCTGAAAACATTCCCCTTCCAAATCATTGTATTTATCACAACACGTGTTTTAGTGACATTGCCCCCGCTACCAAGAAAGCTGATGTAGTTATGTGACTATATATTGCATGGACCACGTTGCTATCAGTAAGTCTTAGTGCTAGAAGTTCCTCAGGTAATTCTCTTGCTGCAATCAATAACTGTTTTACTTCTTCCCAGGGTCTTTGTTTTGTGTTGCGTTTATGAATGTGTCTTCGGCTTTTAGAAGCAAGCTTGGTTTGTTTCGTAGGTAAAACTTCTAGATCAGTTTTAATGAAATAGAGTAATACTAAACATTCCTGGTCTTTCTGGTTCTCAGCATTTTTACTATGTTTATTATTGCTATTGCTGTGTGGGTGTTTGTCTGCATGTCTGTCTGTGCACCGTGGAGGCCAGTAGAGGGCCTCAGAGGCCACGGAACTGAAGTTACAGCTGGTTGTAAGCTGCCCTGTGGATGTTGGGATTGAACCTGGGGCCTCTGGAAAGGCAGCAGTGCACTTAGCTTAGTGACCACCTCTCCAGTCACTACAAATGTTTTACATGCCTATTACAAAACAAATGTGAGCAACACAAAAGGCACGGAAGGATGAGCCCATCCTCCCTTACATACCCTTGTATTATGACAGTCCTATTGTCACCATTTCCTTCGGTATGCCTTTGACCGGTTTCTTTTTGTTTTGGCTTATGTTTGGTTTCTATTGCTATCCTTTCCTGATACACCTTTACCTCCTTTTCCATGGCACAGCGTAGGTAGGGTTGACCTGGCTCATAATCCAGGGGTGGGTGGTGGACCAAGCTGGGGCCAGTTAGTGAGTTTCTTTCTAGTAAGGTTTATGGCCTGGTTGGATGTGAGCCTGGAGTCATCATCGCTGCCTGAGAAACCAATGTGTCGGAGAATGGGACCAAAACAAGTGAGAGCAAAATCGAGATAGAGCAAGGGGTGGGATTCTGACTATGTGGTCCACCCGAGAATCCTTGTGCCAGGGATGTCAAGGATAACCCTGCTCCCCAACCTTGCCATCTCTGTCTTAACTTGTCATGCTGGTATTCTGTCATTCACGATGAAGGGTCACCGATAACAACAACTTTGACAAACTTTATCTGTCGCTGATATTAACTTCCAAGAGTGTTGCAGAAGAAAGTGACCTGAACTGAAGACAAATTTAAAGTTTAATCCATGGTTGACTCTGGGCACGTAGATTCTAAGCCTTACTCACTCTTAAAATGAGACAAGATTGCATTTATTGGGTATACTGACTACTTGAAAATGTTTGTCAAGTTTAAAACATTCTGGAAAAAGAAGTTAGTTTTGAATTATGTTTGCACTAATATTAAATGAATGTTTTCCAAAAATCATTTGTTTTACCATTCTAGCTAAAAATTTCAGAATGTTCTAAATTTTTCCCTCTGAAAATGAAATCAATCATCTTGGGATGCACAAGATAGGGACTGGCAGGGTGGTGATTGGGGTATAGATACAGGACACGAAGCATGGTTGGTCACTACTTGTGTGGTTTGTATGGGAATGACTTCCATAGGCTCCTGTTTGAATGTCTGGTTCCCAGATGGTGGACTACTGGGAAGGATTAGGAGGTGTGGCCTTGCTGGAGGAGGTGTGGCCTTGCTGGAGGAGGTGTGTCATCAGGGATGGACTTTGAGGTTTTAAGAGTCCCCGTGATGC